TTGCTTACAACTGAATGGAGCTCATAATTTCAGGTCTGATCAGTAAAAAGGAAAGGTTGAAGAATGTATTAAAATTAAAACTGAATAAACAGGTGTTTATATCGTTGATTTAATAAACAGCCACTACATGCTATTGCATGTCTGAAACTTGAAATGACTCCTTTTGTGCCTACAGGCCTAATTAGTAGTCCAGAAAGGACAACTGGTCATTTGTTAAAATACTAATATCCAAAATTTTTAAAATATTGAATTTGTTATGTTTTTTCCTGAGAGAAAGTACTTGAAAAAAACCTGGAAATGCTCTAAAATGCAGCTGAGAGCATCTTAAGTCCCAAAATTTTGGGGCCCTTGGGTAGGGTCCGAACCCCATGCCATGGCTTCGCAAAATGTTGGTAAACCACAATGGAAAGCCCACACAGTTTTGAAAAATCCTGGAGAGAACCCTGTTGCGTATTGGCGTATACGCTTCCCAACTTGGAAATTTAGTCAAAATACACAGAATAAAACCTCATGCAGAACATAAAATATGCAGTGCTTTCTACTCTAGAAAGAGTAGCATAAACATTTTTCATGTTTTGTCAATTACACCCTGCCAAACAAAGAAACATTCGTAGCAGATGCTACTGAAACCAATTTGCTCAAGTTTGTCTGCGTTTAGCTTTTCTCACTGCTCCGTGCATAACCATCCATCATTAAGAAAATCCCAAATAGAAGGGAAAGAACCAAAGCGAAACAAATAGACTAAAATGGGCTACTGCGCATGTGTTGTGCGCATGGATGGATTTTGTGGACTTGGACTAAAAATGTGGTCACCAGAGTCCTTGAAGACATGATGCAGTAAAATTGATTTTTAACTCACGGGGACCACACTTTTTTCATCAGTTTTTTGCATGAAGAAATGGAATTGAAAGTTCCGCGAAAAACATGAAGTTTTCTGCAAGTTTTTATGTGTTAAACACGGGCATTTTTCTCAAGTGGTGTTTAAGAGGCTTTCCAGTACATTTACAGGAAACCAGGTATCATTTTTAGAAAATTGGAGCCTGAAACACCTTAGAAAGAATGAAGTTTAGATTGAGAATGAGGACATTTGACTGCCGAGCGATGAAGTGTACTGTGATTTTCTTAACCGGGCGTGTGCACATGGCAGCCAGTCAACGTGGCATCCGCACGAGGTAGTCTCACATGCCGCCGTGCACAGGTGGATATGGACTTATGTGATTTTGTCTATGGTGTCATGACTTCATGGTTACCACTAAGTGCTGAGGCAAAGGAACCAATTTGCATAATACTGGTACTCAGTTCCTCCACCTCCCAGGCAGTACAGTACTCTCCCTCTCTAGAGGAAGAAGACAATACAAAACAATAATGAGGGCAAAAGAGTACTGCACTCTGCTAAAATCAAAGAAGTAGGTATTGTACTCATGGCTTCAAGAAAATTATCTAAACCCTTGAGTTTGTGTGAGGCGTATGTTTGCTTACTTGGCTTATGTTACCCCAGAGTTGTAGACTCAAGTCACTTGTCTTGGACTCAAGTTGCACTCGAGTTGCAATTTTTGTGACTTGACTTGTAACTATCAGTTTTTGACTTGTGACTTGACTTGGACTTGCGCATTATGACTTGTTACTAATGCAAGTCAGAAAACTATTTAATCGAACCTATTACAGATTTAAACTAGGCTTTTATCAACTTTTTCCTTCCGTTCTTAAAAAAGTCAGCGTTAGACTATGTTAAGCTCATGACTTCTACTTTGTTCTTGTCTGCTCAAGGCCACCTCTGAATCACTTCGCTGTTGTTAGTCTTGCACATTTGTTCGGCAGTGCTTGAATTTTTAATTTTTTCCCCCCGACTTTCTGGGGGAGCCAATTAACAGTTTGTTTGAGACTGATAATGAATTCATTCAGTTCATAAAGTCACTCAGCCTAGAATTGAAAACAAAAATCGGGGCTTGAACTCAAAGGCTGAACGTTTCTGTGTAATTTGCTGTGTTTCGGTGGTTGTAACATGCCTTAAAAACATGGCAATAGATTATTTTATATCAGCTACCCATCTTCAGATATTTGTTGAACATTGATCTTGAAAAACTGCAGTTTTGGGGGAGATATGGGCCAACTTTACTGTAATAAAGCGAGCAGAGAGATCATACATCATGACCATACTCTGTGTGACAATGTGCGACACCGTGCAACATTTTTCACTTATCTGACTAATCACAAGTCTTTGGCTACTGCCCCGGACTATTGAAGGATATATTTGAGTTCTTAACTCAAAACATCTTTCAAAGAAAGGTTTTAGTTTGAAAATGATATTCCTGAACGTGAAGCATGTTGACAGATTGATGGTTATTTGCATATCTTCCGCGATCACCACTTGAGTGATGTGAATAATGCATATGCTACAATTATTACCATAGTCTGCTGCTTCCCCTGTTCGAACAAATACAGGGGTAAGAAAATTCAGCTTTTTAGCTGATCTCAGCTTTTTTGTGTGTAAATGTTGACCCTGAATTTCAGCTTTTTGCCAGCTGTTTTCAGCTTTAATTTTAAGTGGCCACTTACATCCCTGCAAATATCCAAGACCTGCCTGTGTGGTTTGTGTCACAGATTACGCAATGAACTGTGGAAGGTCTTGGAACCAAGACTAGGCTGTGGCTTGAAATCACACATTAAGCAGTTTGACTTGTACTTGGACAAAATACTAGTTACCACCTCTGCGTTACCCACTCTAAAAAATTGCAGGCCATGGACTGAGACCCCTCAGGCATCCCTGGATTAAAAAGATTAAGGACATGAAAAAAAATTAAACATCTATGAACTGTTCGGTTTTGTGGCAGTTTTGAAGAACTTGTATTAAACATATATGATAAACACCTGTGCCCAAGAGTCAGAGATTGTTTTGATCAGATCAGACATATTTAGCAAAAAAGGTTAAATTTTGTTAGTGTTTACATTTTAACTGTACATTCTGGTTGTCATTTGATAGACTTGGATTGACTTTAGAAGTGGTTGACTTGATAGGGGTATTTTTGTATTGGCAGGGTGAGATGTATGGGCCAACATCTAAGAGACAAGACATGATGACTCCTACGTCAGTCATCTCTAGAGCTGATGATGCCTACCGAGGGATAACATCATCCTTTGGCCAACAAGGTCCATATCCACAGGGTGCATTTCCAGGAGACAGGCCCATGACTAATCAAGGCGGATATTCTCCTGGCTTCAGAGAAGGCAGACCTCCCCAAGGACCTGCTCCTGCACCCCAACAAGGTTAGAATTTTACACTTTATGAAAAGCTCTGCAGTCTATCCTTAGAGTCGAGCCTAACTTGCTTAACCAGTTGCCGCTGGGGTTTCTGGTACTGGACACATATTCTTTATACGCCCGGCAGGGGTCTCCGAAATCGGACAAAGGGAACTAAGCATTGTAACAATAGACCGTACTCGTAAAAAAAGACCAGGCTGCTGGGCATCACGAACATGTTTTCACTCTCAGTAGAGAAGGTAATCCAGCCTTGTTTTGAAATAGTATACCACAATTTGGGGGATTTAGCGCAAGCAAATTACCACTGGGGACAAAAGCGCTCCACCACTGCAGTGGTGAGCCACACAGTACCGCTGCACGCATATCTGGCCCATATTGAAACGAGGTCAGCAGCGCACTGTGCCAGTTTCCTGAACAAAAGAAAATTATGAAAAACTGCAAAATCTGGGCTCTTTTTACAAGGCAGCAGGCCTGGCTGAAATACTCCAGCATCAATGGATGTTGTCTGTCAGATTAGAGTAGAAACCAGTCAGTCTTTCGTGTGGGTGTCGATGTCCAGTAAATGAAGATATGAATTTTTAAAGATATTTGAAAACAGAAAAAATTGATAATTATCCTGTCCCAGCATCATCAACATTGATAAATGCCACCGGCGCGAAATGGTTAACCATATCTTTTGCCATATACATTGCTCACAGTTGATATTCAGATTTTGCACACTTTAAAACATGCTGTGTGCAGGAATCCTGAAGCCATATGCCCATTGGACTTTTGTTGTTGGAGAAGGGGGTAAATCTCACACAGTCTGTTGTCAGTTTGACAAAACTGTATCAACTGTGGACAGCCGGTAAACTGTTCAAATTGTCAAGAGTCGGTTGTCGATTGTTAGTTGACCTTCCACAGCCCCAAGTTTTTCAGGGCCACCCTGGTCTTGGAAGAATTACATTGCCATATTCAGAGCAAAGTCCAATGTGGATGGCCACTGTTATGTAAAACTTTTATCACGTGAATGAGTTGTTTCACATGCATGCATCTATGTAGTGCTATACATTCATAGAAGATATCAGAGATGAAAACTGGGGGACTTGACATCATATGAACAAAAATCTAAAAACTTTCTTAATTCCCTAAGCCACATCCAATGTCAAATTATGTGGTCAATCAGCAGATCAGAGGGCATCCTCTCTAGATTCTGAGAGGGCATGTCACTGAAGGTTTAAAGCAGCTGATCTGACTACCTACCACTGTTAAAAAACAAACAAGGCTTTTACAGAGAATTCCCGTATTCGGAGCGAAGTTGAAGTATTGTATGACGTTACCTGATGGAGAATATATTGAAGTGAGCTTTTATTGTTAATATATTTTGGAGCTGCAAATTTGGGTTGTGAATATAATAACTTCAAAATTGGTCTTTTCTAACAGGAAAGAACTTCCAAAAAGAAAAGAAAAAACCCTCCGGGATTGGAACCAAGAACTCCCACTTTACTTAATCCTTTCCTTGCCCACTAACACTATGCAGCCAGCTTGGCTGATTTTTTGTTTTCTTCCTTTTGTGCGGGCAACACAACATGACGCTGAAGCTATTACAAACTCAGATAATATCATAATATATTTCAGCTCTGTAGAAGCCTTGCTTATCAACAGTGGTGCAAGTAAGCTTGAATCTTGACGTGGCCAGCTGAATCTGCATGATCAGTATGGCTTGAACTTAGGTTAAAATTGATAATTCTCATGCATCTCGTGACATCAGAGTACATGTTTCATTTACACCATCATGTCTGCCAAGTCTGCCGAAACTTTTGACCAGTGAACATCATCCGTCACCATCTGGACGAAAAATGACTTCATAACAGCTCTGATTAGCTGATACACTGTGTTGCATAAAATTTGCATGTTAGCATCAGACATTTGTATAGAATACAGAGTTTTGGATGAGGTGTCAGGGAAACAGTAAACACCTATGTAAGCTTTGATATAGTCATAGGAGTAGTTACATATACATATCTATATCCATCTTAACTGAAACAAATCCATGTTAGCACAACTCATTCTAGTTTTCCAGACAGATTGCATAACAAGCAGTCTAAAGTATACATGAATTAATCTATCCTCTCTCCCTTTTTGCTAGCTTTCAGAAAACATTGTATTTTGTTTTATGTAAAGGTGGTAAGCATGAGCTTGGAGGTAGTGGAGGAGGGTTTATGCCTGAAGCGTATGGGATTAGAGATAGAAGCCTACCAGGAGCAGGACCATCCCCTTCATGGGGCAGCGTACAACAACGACAGCCAGCTCCTCCCTATACGAACACTTCCCTGGGACCACATCCATTTGTGAGCCAAGCTGGTCCACCTAGAACCCTCCAACAGGCATTAATGGCAGCACATCGGGATCGACACCCTCCTAGTAAGATGATGAAGTCATCCCCACCTCAAATCCACACTACCTCACCACAGAAGAAGGACATTGTGTTTCCACCAGATTCTGTGGAGGCTTCCCAGCCAGCACTAAACAAACCAAAGAAGAAAACCAGCCGAGATATTGGTAAGTATACTGAATACAGAGCTACTGATGTTTCTTGAACAGTAAAGCATGGGCCACTGCTGTTAATTAATAGTAGGCACTGAAGCATCATTTTCACCATTCGCTCACTCTCAGATGCATTGTCATGCAGAGATACATTTATGGTTGTTCACATTTTGGTAAGCATTGGATGATGCATCCTTACATGCTTCTAGGGTGGATTGCTGTACGTTGTCTTAAAATGATCTGCATTAGTCAGTGGTCTTAAAGCTGTGTACATTAACCATTGAAAATTACAGTGATGCGGTCTTGAGTTTTTAAGCTGGTTGCAAAATGGTTAGTTTTTCTGAGGATGATATGAAATGGTATCATAAATAATGTGCTACATTGCCGTCTAGGTCACCATCATTTCGTTTAAAACATGTACATGCACATGTTTTTACAAACATGTATGTACATGCGCCGGTAGCAGGTTCTACAAAATATGAGCAATTAGATAATGGCTCAACACTTTGGGTATTTCCTGAAGTGAAAAGATTTAATTAATTCTTAATGTCCTATGAAATGAGGGTAGGCATGACAAATATCTGGAACACCAATGACCATAGCCAGTCTTCATTTTGATCTGAGTTGAATATATAAGGTCTGTAACGTCAGCATGTTTGATGGACATGAACAACCTGTAAATCTTACCCACCTAAAAATTAATGGGAAGTAATAATTTCCACTGTAATTTTTAACAGATTTGTAAGTGATGAGAGATGACAATAGCTACATATTTTAAAACCATAATCACAAAATTAAGATACAAGTCCAAAGTCAAAGAGGTGCAAATATCCCTCGATTTCTTCAAAAGTCAACGATTGAAATTCAACAAGAAAAATAAAAAATAATGTACCACACAAGTGTAAGAAGAGTGCAAGAAAGGCCCCAGACATCATCCTGTTACGATTTGAACAATCACATCATCATCAAGTAAATAAACTCTGGATTACAACTTGTCCCTCAAATTTTCACTGTGACATTTCCGAAATGTTTTGCTGCCTTTTGGGTTGTTTGGCATTTGACATCAGCCCAGAAAGGTCACCCTCTTTTGTTTTGCGACATTCATGAGCCTCTTCATAAAAATACAACGCTCCTCGGTTTTTCTGTTTGTACCACAGTTTTTCTATCAAACTATGTGACGATCTGAAATGGAATGGAATTTTCAAGAACTACATGTGACAGCGTTTTTGCGATTTTTAAATGTCAAACACCATGAGTTCTCCATCAAAAAATGGAACATCATCAAAACTCCATCAGATATGGCATTTGCAAAGAAAATGTTTTACTGTATGATTTTTTATAACTTCCAGTTTCTCTGTGGCTGAAAAGTATGAGACCTGGTATCGTGAGTGATTTAAAACAACCAGGAAATGAAGAGAGACCAAATCTGCTGATGATTTTCCATCAATTTTGTACAATTTTCTTCATGACTTTTTCTTGAAAGGTCTCCTTGAGGGTCTTTAAATTACCCTCTTTTGACAGACTGTATTATCTTTGTTGTTGAGGGAGGTTTTGGTTTCAAGTCATCAGTTTGACTGAAAACATTAAACAAGTCCAACTCCCTTTGATTTGCACTTGTAGCCAACCAAATCTCCACCTATTATCCCCAGATGATTAATTTTTATAAATGTGGACATATAAATCTGTGAGCCACTCTGTTAGAAGTGTTAAAAAATGACATGGAGTTACAATTGTTTCATCTTTTGAAGAATATGCCATGTACGTGTGCAGTTTGTCTCCACACAGGACATTTTTTGTATACAAATTACAAAAAGCATGCTGTAAGCATTCACTACTGATCAACTGCGAACATGCAGTGTACTGCATTACAGTGTGTATGACTGCAAATGTCTCACTACATTCAAATGTGCTTATGCATAAATTCAGACCAGCATTATACATGCCAATTGGCCTTTAGTCAGCCCCCTTAGTTTCTTGTTCGACCAATGATGGTATTAAGTGTTGATGCAAAACACCCTATTGTAATTTAGATTGGATGTTTATCTTTGTCTCAGAGGTTTGTTTGGAAGTTACTGAACTTGAAAGCTTTTGCATCGGTGCCTTTAGCCTATCCAGTGACTAGAACTATAAGCAACATGAATTGCGGTTGCATTTCATTGGGTCATGGTTTGCATGCATTATAACTGAAATGCAAAAATCACACTTGTTCAATCAGAATGAAGATTGGTTAAACTTTGCCTTATTGGCCAAGTGGGCTCATACATGCATGGTAAGAACGAACCAGTGCGTGCCATCTGCCTGGGAAAGAGTGACCGTAAATTCATGTCTTTCAATAGATGTAAACACGATGGATTCTGTTTCATGAAAAATTAGCAAAAATGACATGAGTTGGTCAAAATTTAATTCAGTTACATACGTCGTCAATATGCTGGCTGATCTTTTTGCTTATTCCTACATTTTTTATCACTTTGTTCAAGCATAGTCCAACACATCTTGTTTTGTTAGCGAAAAAGTGGCAAAATGTCACATCTGACTTATTTTTTAACTTCTAGTAAATTTGGGGGAAACTGTGTAGAACAAATAGGATGAAATCAACATTGCTGCTGTAAGGAGGCAAGAGAATAAGATTGATCAACTGTATGTATGCAAACATGAAATGACTAGAGCACACTTGTAATGAGTCTTTTGATGTTTCAAATCCAGTGTGCATTTACGTATGTCCAAACCCAAACCAAAAAACACTTTGGAGCTTACCTGAAGAAATAGTCCAAACTCTGTCTAAATGCATATTTCACATCTAGAAAATTTTTATCTGCCATACAACTTGATGTCAATTTTATACAGAGAATTCAGTTCAAACTTTATCTTCTGTTGATGCAGTGCTCTTCTATTTAATTTACAAATAACTTCCATTCAAGCAATGAAAAATACCCAAGGAATGTTAAAACATCCCAAATGAGACCATTTTGATCCAGTCTCAGGCAGGCAAACCATTGTAAGGCCAGCTTAACGCTTACATGTAGACCGCTGGAATGCAGAGGTCTAAGTTAAAGACCAGAGATATTTTCTAATGAAGAATTGCGAAAAATTCTAAATTGCTAAATTTTACTCTACAAAAGTCATCACATGTAAAATTTGTCCCATCAATTTAAAAACTAGCTATAATTAGAAATATATTTAGGACTAAGATTGACTTCAAGGGAAAGAAAATTAAGTCTGAGTTGTGAAGGGACAGTAGCCTTTGCCTACTTCTTTAATTGAAAAGGGAATGCATTTTTTTTTCACCTCTACTATTCCACTACCAAGATCTCCATATATTCTAATTGCAGAACCTGTTTGCTTCATCTTCTTGTAGGCACCATTGAAGCATGGAAGTTGATGATGGCACTGAAGTCAGGACTCTTAGCAGAAAGCACTTGGGCTCTGGAAGTCCTCAACATCCTTCTCTATGATAACAATACCATTGTTTACTTTGACTTGGGACAGTTGAAAGGCCTTCTGGAGATCCTTGTAGACCACTACCGGGCAAGCCTTATCGAGGTGTTTGGAACTTTGAACGATGTGGAGGTTAGAACTCGCAGAGAAGTTTCTGATTGTGGGAGTAGAGACTTTCCTCAAGATTGTGTGTGCAGAAGTAACCCACAAAGCACTGTGAAATATCATGATAAATCAGAGGAAGAGTTGATTCAGGAAGCATTGAACATGTTTGATGTTGAGAAACTAAGAGGAGCAGACAAAAAGAAGCTAATCAGGCTAGAGCAGAACTCTGATGGGTTCTATTCCAGCGAAAAAGAGTGGGATTATCATGAAGGCTTCAAGAGTAACCAGCTACATTGGCAGTGTGGTGGTGGTGATATGACAAAGCATATAGTACATGTATTTGAAAGTGACGGAATTCTTAAGAAGATCCTGAAACGTCAGGCCCGCAGAAGGAAAGCTGAAAGAGCCAAGATTGTGAAAATGGTAAACAAGGCCAAAAGGATGGAGGAGAACAATCACCTAGAGGCAGAAGAGAATTACCAGAGTAATGACAGCATGGAGAATGTGGAAGATTGCCCTAAAGCAGATGATGAATGTATCAAGGAGGACCAAGAAGAAAAGAATGAAGGTGGAGAAGATGGAAAGGATGAGGAAGAACTTGAAGAAAACACAAAGGAAGAGGAGGAAGATCAAGAGACTGTGTACAATGGGAGGAATGATACTGATGATGACACATGGTTGCAATCTTGCAGTGAAGAACTTCGTGCTGCAAAGAAAAGCTCAGATATTATTGCCTTGTATAAAGGAGACCTAGCACATCCTACCTGTTCTCCCCTAGAAGATGAAGGAACTTGTAATGATCACACTGCTCTGGTCACGACCACAGATGCTCAACGTTCACTCACTCAACGATGCATCACAATATCTAACATCATCAGAAGCCTGTCATTCATCCCTGGCAATGACGTGGAACTATCCAAGCATGCAGGTGTACTTGTAGTGATGGGAAGAATACTGTTGTTGCATCATAGACATGCGGAACGCAAGCAATTACCACAAACATATGATAGAGAAGACCACGATGATTTGGACACTGACTGTCCGATCACTGATAAGGACACATGGTGGTGGCATTGCTTGAACTGTTTGCGTGAGAACACCTTAGTGACTCTGACTAACATATCTGGGCAATTGGATCTGTCTGCATTTGTTGAGCGTGTGAGTTTACCAATTCTAGATGGGCTGCTTCACTGGGCTATTTGCCTCTCTGCTTGTGCGGTGGATCCATTCCCAACACTTCCTGCCACATCCCCCCTCACACCCAAACGTATTGCCGTTGAGGCCCTGTCAAAGCTAAGTATACAGGAAAACAATGTGGACATGATTTTGGCCACTCCACCATTCCATCGTTTAGAGAAGCTTTTTGCCACCTTGACACAATATCTCAGTGACCGCAAGGAGCCTGTGATGCGGGAATTTGCAATAGTACTTTTATCGAGCATTGCCCAGGGTGATCCCAGTGCTAGTCGGGCCATTGCATCTCAGAACTCTAGTATCTCTTTCCTGCTATGTTACCTTGAAGACTCGGAGTATGCCAAGTCCTTGGAGAGTGGAAGTAATGCAAAGCAGCTGAGCCAGAACCCAGACATCCAGCCAGCAAGCCCAGACATGATGCGCAGAACAGCTATCCTTTTGGCAGCATTGGCCAAGGTAGCTGACAATAAACCATTGTTTCTTCAACACCAACATAGACTATTGAATCTTTCTATGTCACCCATGGTGACAGACTCAGTCAAAGCACTGATAGCTGATGCCTTGTATGAAATCTCATGATCATGAGGACCACTTAGATGCAAAGAACGCACACTGCTGTTTTGAAATGGAGTCAAACTCCATAAACATTGCTTGAAACTACTATCTAATGAGTCGAGCAATATTTAGTATGCCCCGTATTTGTTTGCAGTAAAGTACTGTACCATCCATGTAGCCCTTAATGCTGTTGGATTCTTTATTGCAAATTTCACAAGATGTTCTTGGGCCCCCATAATTCTTACAAAGAAAAGGAGGGATATGGTTTCCTCCAGTAGTGAACTAAGTTGGCATTACAATTCTCAAATTTCAATTATTTGAATCAAGGTCTATGAATTTCAGATCAAGCTGAATCACTTATGTCAGTTTGTAGTTTTCGTGTTCATCTGCGTAGAATCGTATTACTGGATGTTCCTGTGATTGTCAGGATTTTTGAGTTAATTAAATGAAAGAGGAAGTTGAAGTCTTTCATAACAGTAACCTTCTTAAAACAGGATAGAAGATATTTTTCATGCAATCAGAAGCAAACAAAAAATTTTATTTTAAAGGAAGTGCTCACTAAATGATAATTACACATTGGCTTTAGTAATGCAAAAGTAATTGGGAGTAACTGATTGTAGATTCCTAAAGCAGTCAAAGTTCTTGAGAATTGTTTAATTATTAAGCCATGTGAACTTCATTTAAAAAAAACCGAAATTTTCTCTGGCATCTGTACCTTGGCAGCATCATTGTTACAATTTGTAAAGGGAACATTTCTTGCCTTTTCTTTGGGGGGGGGTCATCAAGTCGCTCTTATTACACTGACAAGTTGTCCCGTAGCATACCCCCAAATGATTTTACTGGACCCCCAAATGATGGTATACTGCTGTAGTTGTTAACTTTAATTAACTTTAATTTACTCACATGCTATGTGGATGAAATTAAAGTTTAATGCTTTTAGCATTTGTGAGATGAAAAAACACAACCCTCTTTTTCGAAGCTTTAGGAGGGCATAACAGATTTTTTTTAAGGAAACAAAAATACAAACTTCATTCACCCATTTATAGTCGTACGCATTTGATGGGCCTGGTAAGATAATTAAAACATTGAGCATATTTGTGGAATGTCCGTTTGTGAAATTCTCATAAAACGTTAACTTTTACAAAAACAACAGTACACGCATAGCTGTTGGCCACTTCCTGTTGAACAATTTATGTAGATGAGTACAGGTATCATTTTGCAGCACACCCTAGTGTGAATGTAATGATACTAGAGCATTATGAAAGACGTCTATTAAATGGCCTTCCAAACAAAAATGTCATCTGCATAAAAAGGGCCAAAAACAGCAAAAGAATAGTGTTCTTTATGTCTACAAGGTTTATTTAATGATCCTTATTTATTGACATGGAAAAGATGTTTGAGAAAGGTGCAGAGTTGTCTTCCTTAAAAAAAAAGAAGAGGTGAATTAGGAATAGTACGATGAAAGTGCAACCTGCAGGACAGTGGATCATTAGCATACTTACCTCGCCTATAGTCTCCTGTACATTCATCGCATTGTAATCAGTACTTTAACATTTTTTTCTTTCAGTAAAGACACAGGATGAAAACAGATTGGGGTGTACTCCATGGGTAAATGTGGTGTTTAAGCTAATGGTATTTTGAGTTGTGATTGGAATTATCTGGATTTTTAAGGTGTTACCATAGAGTGCGAGTTATAACTCATCATTGAAGTCAGCATGAATGTAACTTTGAGAGCTTTTTGACATATTTTATTTCAGTGTAATGCTTCTGAGATTTTTCTAAACCCTAAGAGCCTCAACTTTGTTTTAAATAGTGGTAACTGAAAGAATTGTATGTTAATGTGGGTATGCATATTTCCTCATTGTCAGGGCCCTTGCTCATGCCCTGAGGGGTAAGTACATGATTCCAAGGGGAAATAAATTGGTGCTCAGTTAATTTTGTGTAAAGATGTTTCATTTCCGGGGTTAATCTGTCAGGTACACAGTCCTAGTGGAACAGATGCCTGTCTCTAAAAAGTGATATATAGAAAAAGACACTAAGGATAGTCACTAAGGATTTGAGATTACAAGACAGGGAAGTTGTACCAAGGCAACCCATGATTGGCTTGAATGTTATTTGTACAGCTGTGATAAGTGGGATATTAAATGATAACTTCCCATGTGTAGTTTTGTATAAAACAAAAACAGGAAAAAATACAACTATTAAAATATATAAATTGTATTTGTGTCAATTTTGTGGCCAAATTACGGTCACAGATATTTATGCTTGAAAAATTTTCACAAATTTTGTATATCTATCTTGTAATAAATTCCGCACACACAAACGGCTTGATTCCCACAATTTCAACTTTGTGTGTGACCACATTATTGCAACTATTTATAACTTCGAATGCCACTTGCTTTTCAAATTTCCTGTTGGGGAAGTCCAAGCATGCAATGTTTCCTTCTTTGCTTGATGACTTGTTTAATATCAATGTGCAAGAATTTTGTTTAGTTTTTGTCCAGCTTTTTGTACGTATGAGACAATACAAGGGGTTATTTGGACCCCTGATGTATCTGTATAATTGAAGTAATCCAGTTTAGAAAGCTTGGTGAACATTTTCGAGGAAAACCAAGTTATGCATTTAAGTTGAAGAGAAATGGATGTAAAGTGATCACCCATTTGTCTTGCTTGGACTGTAGTTTCTTCATAACGGTAGTTTTTCTAGAGCATTAGGCTTATCCAATGTAAAGTGTCCTGAAAATGGTTTATATACAAGTGTCTATGAAATAAATTGTAAATACAGAACATGAATCCTGATCATATGTTGACATGTGTTGGTCTTCAGGTGTCTACAGCTTAGACAATAGTAAAGTAAGTCATGTAAACTGACTCGGAATAATCTAAATGTAGCTGTATATGTACATTTACGTGAAATTAATATTTTCAGTATTTTTTTCATTAGAATGACCTATGAGATTGGGTTTAGTGCAACATGGTAAAGATGTAAGTCGAAGTAGAACGGAGATCCGACAGATCCGAGTAAAAATCCGAATCTGATCCGAATATAACAGCCTTGGCACTTTGTAAAGACCTACACATTATTGTCGACGAATTTTAGTTTATAAATGAGACGTCAACGGGAAATACTTTCCAGCAGGGTTGAATAGTGTTCTGTATAAGGCACTATTTTGCCATAGGCAGCAGCTCGAATCTCATTTTGCTAATAAGTGATGGAGCCTTTCATATTTAGGCTAACCTCCCCTAAGGTATGTGCTAATGTACTAGCTATTTGAAGCTTTCCGAAGTTACGAGATTCAACGAGAGACAGTAATCCATTGTTGGTCTACCTCGGAACAAACGAAGCTTGCTTGATGGGCTCTAACACGTCTTGTGGACTTGCACAGGTTATGTGTTTCTCCCTCTGAAAGACGAATTTTAATTTTAGATGCATCGGGGGTCTGGGCTATCTGCTAGAAAAAAAATAGAAACATTCACAGAAATCACCTTGAAAATCCACCTGGACACACACTGTCCATACCCGG